CAACTGTTTGCTCTTACAACAACTTTAAACAGTTGTGACAAAACCTCAGATAATGCCATCTGAAAAAAAAGAAGCTGCTTTTTATTTTCAAGTGGTATAAAAAACATTGAAGAGAAACACAGTCTACTACAAGATAGACCTAACACAAAATATTTTTAATTTTATTGTGTATTTTGTCCTTTGAATTCATAATTCATAGACCAAAATTTACTCTGTTCTAACAAAAACATTTTCCTTCACAAAATCAAAGCAGTATTATTTCTAAATTAAAAAGGTTTCAGTGGTCTCACAGGTTTCCAGAAGATGGTCAATACAGTGATCCTATGAAAGTGTTTTAATGTATTATAATGTTATAGCTGTTAGCTATAAAATTTTGGACCCAGCAATGCTGCCAAGTTTGCATGGAGGCTAAGTGTGCTCTACAGTCCACCAGTAAAAGTATGATTTCAGACCTTTGGGCTCAAACTGCTGCTTTCTCTCCATTTTGATGTCGGACAAAAATGGGGTAAAAAAAAATCGCTTGGAATACCAATGTAGTTTTTGCAGCCAATTTTTGGGGAAAAAAAAAAAAAAAGACGACGATAAACTGTGTTACCAATATTTATTCTCAGATGTTTGTACTATGTGGTCCCCTAACAGTAACTAAAAGACATATCTTTTCAAATGTGTTTCTTTCAGGACTGAGCCAACAAAACCAAGCAAGACTATACGGAAATGTCAGTCCTGAAGACCAGACATGTTTGCTGGAAGAGCATGCTTTTAAAAAGATTTCATGAAGCTTGTTTATCTTATTAGTGGTATGCCATAGCATAGAAAATTCCATGGGGGAAAAAAAAGTATTTTCACTCTAAATGTACTTACTAGGGAAGTTTAATCTCTGACCAATGGAAAGGTCAAGTGCGGGCAGAATTAATCTCTTTTTAATTTATGTAAGGGAAAACTTCTATTTGTTTCAGGGCAGGATGCTCTTATACTGTTTCTATAGTAAATTCATAGCTATTCTGAGAAAGACAAACTTGCTGTAACAGACTACATTTAAAGTGAAACAAAGTCTCCTTTGCTGGAAGGTGATGGATGCTTTCTACTGATCTCATTTTTACTGGGTATGTGTTAATTCTTTATATCAAAGACACATCTTTTAGGCTTGGTTCAGAAGAAGTGTTGGCAACGTGAAAAATACTAGCACAGGCTTTTTAGACAGCTTAGTAACTGCTTAAGATTACTAAACAAAACCCCCACAGTTTCTCAGTGGATTATATAAGGTTATACGAGATGCAGCTACATGGTGTAATCAGACATTATTTTAGACTGTACTTCACCCACCTTGATTTACCAGTTCTCTTTTGCAAAGGGAAATGTGGAGAAAGATTTTTGAAACTTCAAACTTTCAAACATTTTGACAGTACTTCCAGCATTTTACCACTCCCTTGAAAAGTCAGGGCTCATTTTAACAAGACACACCAGATTTCTGCCTTTTTTTATCATCCTATTTCAATTTGCAGGATAATGGTAGTGTGCCTTCCAAAGGCAGAGATGCTGTTCTGTCTTCACTGTCCTAGTACAATGTTTCTGGCCTACTGATGGATCCAAGAGCTCCTGCTTGGTTCTTCATCCTCTCACAGCATTAGTGGAGACACAAACAGTCATGCAACCTTGACATCAATACTAGACCCAGCAGCTGGCAAAGACATTTCAAATAATTTTAATTGCTCTTTTGAAAGTGCAAGAAAACTTCACAGCTAGACTGTCTTGGCAGAATCTTTAAAGCACCACAGTTCTCAGATGTGAAAGTTTGAGCTTTTTTTTTTTTCCTCTTTCAATAGTTTGTTTGTGAACCAGAGCACATCCATTTACTAGCTGGTTCCTATTATTAGCAGGAAACAGTTATTTTAAAACAGAAATCATACTGAATCTATCTTTTTTGACTGTCCCTTATTGTCTCTGAATTACACAGCTTACATAGTGGCATGTCTTTCAAAGACATCAGCAGTATGGAAATAAGCATGGGCTGGGTGTTGCTCATTATCTGTGATTTCACAAATTGTCTTGAAATTGTTTGTCATGCCTAGAAGGAAGTTAAGTGACAGAAGATCCAAGCTGATAGAAAATGACAGAGAATAAATGAGTTATATTACTATTTTTCCACTTTATTTTTTTAATTCTGTTGCTTTTATCCATTCGAAAAAGACATAGCTTTGTAAAGTGCTTTCAGATACTCTGCTCTGTACTACTGACTATTATTTTTTAGTTCTGTAAATCAGAAAAAATATTACGAGGAAACCCAAGGGAAAAAAGAATCCAGCTCTGCCTAATGCTAGAAGAGGGCATCCAGATCCCTTTTTACCAGACAAAGATTTTGCAAGACCAAGGTCGACAAAGTCAAGAGGAAGCTGGAAGAAATATGTAAACTGTTTAAAAGCAGAATCAATTACCCAATTGGAATATTTTTTTAAGAAGCACTGAATATTTTCCATTGCCTAAATAGTGAAGTTGTAGTTCAATTGTAAATTATTGGATTCATTTCAGGAGATAATCAAATTTCATGGTCTGTCTCAAGCGGGAAGTCAGAGTAAATTATTATCTTTTGGCTATGAAGTCCTATTAATGCAATTAAGGAATCTAAGTCAAACCTAAATCTTTGAAGTTTTTTTTACTTCAGAAATAAAAACCAAGGTATTTGTGTTCCTAGATATGAGAAACACAACACCTGGAAATTCTTGTTTCCTTCCAACAGTCTCCTGGCCTCTCTATTTTGTCAGTTGTACTCTTCCTCCATTTCCAGTCAAGAGACATACAGGAATAAAAGCTTCTAATCATGTACAGTTTTTATTTTACCACTTCTAGTAGTAGGCTTTTTTCCTGCCAGCTTTGATTCCCATGTAAATGAACTTTTTAATCACAATATGATAAATCTATCACTGATGTAATTACTCTTTATCCAGTATTACAGCTGTGAGTGGGTGGGTGACAGGTATAGCCTGTATTTTCCTTGAAGTAATTTCAGCATAACTCTAGGGGATATGTGAAAAGGTATGTTAAGAATATTTTTGAATTTCTTTCATAGTAGAAAAATTTTATGTGCGTCTTGGCCTACTGCCCAAAATCTCAGTTGGAGAAGAAAAGGCTGTGTATATTGCACATTCTTTATATTCAGAGGGAGTGTACAACCTGATGTTAACTTCCACACCAAGCAATAAAGGTAGAAAAACTCACTTGAGAGTTTTGCACCAGGGAGTTAGTTCTGTTTCCTAGAATCAATTAATTTAAAGTAAAGTAATAAAACCTATTTTGAATTCACAGTTGATGTTCTATTTAATGGTACATTGAGAAATAATTTTTTCCAAGATTTTTTCTTCAAACTTTTTTTTTCAAACTATGTCCAGCAGTCATAAGCTGGGGAAGGAATTAAAAAACCTAAAAATGTTAAGTCAGCACACCATTGTCATTTGAGGGCTTGTCTCTGTTTTCCTTCAAGCTATCTGCAATACCCTGGTTGAACTGAGAAGCCTCATTCTTAGTAACCACACATTTCTTCACTCTCTTTCTATTTGAATAAATTGTGATGTCTGAAGCAAAATATACATATCTTTTTTTTTTTTTAATTTTGAGGGAGACAGACATCTACTGTATTAAGAAGTAATGGAGCTAACCACAAAGCACAAATTGCCACTTGCAATTTCTTGAGTTTTACCTTTTCTCCACATTTGATGTTGATCAAGGCTGGACAAGACAGGTCCATGGAAACATGGCTTAGAAGAGCAGAACCTTATTGGACTACTACTTTATCGCAAAATGAACCAAACCAACATACGTTGACTGCTTCATATACTAGCTTTATTCCTTCAGAATGTGTGAAAGATATTTTAAATAGGGAGCCTATATTATACTTGGCAGACATTAGTTTCTTCAGTGAGGGAATTTCATGCTTTACTGGCAGTAGGAATAGAGACATTGCAAGACAGGACAGTTTTAGATGATGTGTAAGTATCAACATCTCTTTCACTATTTATAAGCTGGAAAGACACGTTCATTGATCTGTTAAAGTACCCAGTTCAATTCTATTTCTTTTATTCTTATTTTTTCTTTACTCTAGAAGGATAAAACCTTGTTTCTTCATGATTCTGAAGTAATTAAAAGAAGAATCTGCATCCTAATCTTCTGCACAAAAGCATGGGCCAGGGGAGTCTTAAAGCCAGAGACTTTTCACACAGCAGTTTGTTCCTGTTTCTCTTCTCAGATGTTTCCAACATGAATGACTAGCCATAGCTCTCAACTGTACCAGTAGGCACAAAAAGGTTAAAGCAGACTCTTATTTGTAAAACAGGAAACAAAAAGACAGCAGGGCAACACTTTCTCTTAGTAATAATATTTGGTAAAAACAAAGTAAACTTGTTAAGGATGAGGGTGTGCATACAAAAACAAATCAGCACATGCCTTCTAGCATGTTGCCTCCTGTAAAATGTTTCACCAGTGCCCTCTAAATCCCTCAAAATTTCAAGGTAAAAATTGTGAAGACTTTAAATTAAGTTTTAAAAATAACTCTGCTGAGGAATTTTGGCTCAATATCCAAACTATTAGAATTGGATATTTTTAATGTGGGATGCCTCTTTCAATTTTTTACAGATATAGACTGTGCCTATAAAACAGCAGGTTCAATGGAAATGAAAGGTATGAAGCACAAAAATGAAATATACTCTTATGCAGAGCTTTCAGTATTGGAATGCATCACTGCAAGACACCAATGAAGCCCAGAATTTAAAATCATAATTAGACAAGAAGGATAAGAACATTCAAGAAGAAAGAACCCCACACAGAAAAGTTTAGGATACTTTATTCTCCGAGTGAAGACAGCTTAACAGAATCAAATATCATTGCTTACAAAAGGAAAATTATTTTGTAGAGGTATTTTCAGGATTCAGATTTAAGGCTCAATAACAACAGTGTCTTTGGAAAGGCCAAACCTGGTAGTCAAGAAAATTTACCACAACATATACTTATCAGAAGATATTTTATTGCCAACAAATACAAAATTGTTGCTCTCGTTCCCTGATGTCTCATTTTAAAGATAAAGCTTTTCTGTCACCACTTTTAAAGACCTGTAAATACAACATTGTAAAAAAAATAAAACAAAAAAAAGAAAAATTGCGACAATAAATTAAGAAAAAGAAAAGGTGAGGAGGAGGAAAGCCCAAAACACCAAGGAGAAAATGTATTAGAAGCAACACGGAAGTTATGAAGTGGAATCAAAGTATCATATTATGTTTTCCTTCCAAGAAAAGTTTGGGGGTTTTGCACATGAAATAAAATAGCAGCAAAGAAGAAGGATAAGTACAAGTGCATTTGTGTCCCACTGGAACTTGTTTTTATTAACCAAAACAGTAGTACTCATCAGAATCAATTTTGGGATGCTTATGCAGAGGCTGTGAGTCCTCCATAATAGAAGAATCACTGAACTGGTCCATATCTGAAGGGGTTTGGTGACCAGGGACATCATCCACTAAAGTGTCCAAATAACTCCCCACTGATATTCCATCAAGTCCATCACTATAGTCTTGTAAACTGTTACAACTGCCGTGGAGGGATGTCTCCTGACTTTCCAGCAAGCTGCACAGGCTGCCACTCAAACTGCTACCTCTGCTGGCGATGGCCTTCTCTTCAATCATCCACTTGATTGATTCAATACTTTCATTGATGATGAGTAGCTGGCGCATAAGCTTCACATCAGTGGCTCGGAGATTAACCTATAAGGCAAAAGTGATTAAAAAAATTACTCATTTTCTTCAAAATCAAACTCTAAATAGCAGGCTAGAGGCAATGAATCAGTTAAAGAAAACCACAAAAAATCTACCTTTCACCTCTAGGACAAATCTATTTAAATAATTAGTGGGGGGAAAAAAAAAAGTAAAAGTATTGCTATACTAATACTTTCAGTGACGTTCAGGTGGGAACCTGGTCAGGCTACATAAGCGGTCCATTAACAGGAATGCTAGTCAATGACAAGACTTGTACACACACTAGTACAATGCTATTTAGATGAGAAACATGCTGCTATGACAACTCTTGGGGATAGCTTTTCGTTATTCAGAGAAGCAAGACACAAATTCATTTCCATTTACAATTACTCTAAGCTACTTAGCAGATCCAGTCAGCTAAGCATTCACCCCAAATTATCCTTATTATGGCTACTTGGGTAACCTAAAATTTTCAGATGTGCATCATTTGGAAAAAGGCTTGTGCACTTTTAATTTTTATTCACACTACACCTGAGTTTATGTTGCAAGCTGCTGTATAAATGTCTAAGAGTTGAAATATTGAACTTATTGAAACTGTGAATTTCAAAGTATTTAAACCCATATTAGATGAACGTGATGAGTTCACAGTCAACCACTTATTATAGATTAACATGAAGAGCAACAATTTGCAAAAAATAACTAAATAAAAAATACACATTAAGCACAAAGTCCTACTTTCCAACTTAGTTGTGGTGCTTGATGCATAAACACAGAAGTGTTAATTGTAAAGCACAGTGGAATATTATAGTGCTGCATTTCACAGATACATTTAAGTTAACTGACTTCATGTTTTCCTTAACAGACAAACTTTATAAGCCACTGTTCTACTCAAATTTCCACAATGAGATGACACATAAAAGTAAGGCCTAAGGGTTTTATTTGTTGCTTCTTTCTTTTCATCTGAAACTCACAACTATTGGCAAAAAAAATCTGTGTGACCTCCTATTCATCACACAAAACAAGTAAAAATACTGAAAAGGTAGTCCGACAAACTGAAGATGATTCCAGGTTTGACCATAATATCAAGTGTTGTCAGCCAGAAGCTACTTCCACCCATACTGTGAGAAGATAATGCTAGTTTGTGACCTAATCAATGCTCCAGCCCTTTCCAACAGCACCTCAGCACTACTAAATATTTGACATCACAACAGACAAATTTCAGTCTCATCACTTCCAGACTAAGACCTCTGCCTAGATGAACTTTTGCCGCAGTGCCAACATAGGGCATGCATGCTTAAAACCACTGGAAAAAAGACGCCAGTCATTTCAGATTAACTCATAGGGATATCATGTCTAGCATGTAATTCGTGTCATATTTTATCACATGTTCTTGCATCCTTTAATTGTACTAATCAAGCATACTACATGCAGATATGTCACTGCTTTAATGCATGCATGTGGAAAATACTTTCCCTTGTATATAATTTGACTGTACTTATCTACAAAAATATGTGTGCCATAATGTCTGATATATACACATATATTACATGCTTTTCTTCCATAGGACACTAACTTCTTAACTTTCAGATTATTAATTCAAAAAAGACAATACAGTATATAAAAAATTTGAATGTCTTCACTCAATTGAGAAATAAGGAAGAAAACAAGTAAGATCTGTTATGCCAGAAAATAGACATTTTGTGCTACTCTCCAAGTCCACAATTATTATACAGAAATATAGCACCAGTATTGTTCATCCACAATGGACCGGAATGGAATCAGTATTCTCAGGAAGCAAAGACTGTATCTTGTTTTGCCAAGAGTACAATCTGGACATGGTTCTTTCCATACTTAAATGCCATCTTCTCAATATCCTAAATTACATTGACCTGGTACAGTTGTTCAAAAAGTTATTTTAAGGTATTTTTATTCTGTTAGATACTGCAGAAGATTGTACTGGCTCTGGCTCGGATGCTTCATAGCAGCCAGTATGGTGCTGTGTTCTACATCTGTGACTAAAACAGTGTTGATAGCATACCAGTGTTTCAGCTCTCAAAAAGTTATTTTAAGGTATTTTTATTCTGTTAGATACTGCAGAAGATTGTACTGGCTCTGGCTCGGATGCTTCATAGCAGCCAGTATGGTGCTGTGTTCTACATCTGTGACTAAACAGTGTTGATAGCATACCAGTGTTTCAGCTCCTGCTGAACAGTGATTGCACAGCATCAAGGCCTTCTGTTTTCCAAAACAGTGTTGATAGCATACCAGTGTTTCAGCTCCTGCTGAACAGTGATTGCACAGCATCAAGGCCTTTTCTGTTTTCCACTCTGCACCCTCAGCGAGTAGGCTGAAGCTGGGAAAGATGTTTGGAGAGGACAGATCTGGGACAGTTGACCAGAACTGACCAAAGCGATATTCCCTGCCATATAATGTTGTGCTCAGCAATAAAACTCATGGGTTTGGTCTTTCCAATGTAGCGATTGCTTGGGGACTGGCTGGGCATCGGTCTACTGGTGGGAGATGGTGAGAGACTGACTTTGCATCACTTGTGTTTTTTCATTCTTTCCTTCACTTATTAAACTGTCTTTATTACAAGCCATGAGTTTTTCTCACTTTTGTTCTTCCAGTTCTCTCCCCCATTCCACCAGAGGGGGAGAGGGAAGTGAGTGAGCAGCTGGTGGGTGCTTAGTTACCAGCCAGGGTGAACCCAACACAAAGATATTTCAAGCTTTGCTAGTAATGTACTGTCTATGTAACTCTCATATGTATTCCCAGTCTCCTTCCCCAGTCCCCAGAATGACTTCTGAATTATCCTCAATCCAATATCACAGGATTTAACACAGCTAACCTGGTACTGTGCAAAATAGCTTTACCATTCACAGTTTTAACAATACTACCCATCTATCATTGTTTCAGATGTGAAGTTCTGAAAACAGATTGACCATTTCATAGCCCTCCTGCTCAAGCCAGTTCTACTCGTACCCATAAATCACTATAAACCATTTGCTCAGCACCTAGGCTGTCATGAAAGCAGCAAATTACCCAACTTCTCAAATGCAACTACAGACTTCAGCAACTTGCTGAATATAAGCAAGCTTGGAGACAGCAAATTTCCCAAAAGGCTGATTAAGGAAATGTTTAACAGAGCTAGCACCATTACGCCTCTAATGAAACAGTCCCTTTTAGATAAAGGAGACATCTTGTATATTTCAGATTCAGTTCACAGGAAATAATTTTTTGCTCTAAATACACCCACAGCTTCAGCATTTCTGTGGAACAGCCTTACTGGGAATAATTCTTTGTATTCCTGCGTACTTGAGTCCTCCTCTTCCAAGCTACCATGTCATCCCAAGTCTCCCATACCGAGAGTGTGCTTTTCCTAAAGCAAACATTAAAAAGTAGTCTACCAAGTGTCATCTTTCTTTAATATGGTTTACTTCATCATCTGCTTGATAACACAAAAATGTCACTACGACATTTCTTGCCTCTTATCTGCTTTAGCCCAGACACAATCACATTACTTCGTATTCACTTATGTAGCTGCAACCCATGTAACTGCTGGAGTAAACAAGTGAGTTCCAAGATGGTTCAACTAAAGGGACTAAACAATAAAATCTCACCATGTTTGACAGCTCCATTTGTTATGCACAGTAACAGGTGCATTTCAGAAATAATCTAAACAGAGCGTATCATAGCTAATATAGGTATTTCAGAACAGTTTCTACAGCTGCTCTTTGAGTTAAAGGTTGAGCACAGCACCACCATAGGGAAGGTTTGTGTATGTGTCAGTCCTCAGCACAAACTTGTGGTGTACAGAGGAAACAAACTGTGACAAGAGAGCAAAAAAGAAATTCTGGTTACAGGCTAGCTTTTATATCTTTTTGTTTAGTTTGTATAAACACAATAGTGCAGATCCCCAGGAAGGATAGTAAATATTTAACGTTAAACAGCTAGTCATGGCAAGAGAAAATAATGAAATTAAAGTGACAGTGAGCATCTTTCAAGTAACGCAGTCTGGTAGCATAGGTGGACAGAACAGATTAGCATTCAGACACAAGCAGATCTTCAGTCTGGAAGGGATAACTGGCCTAAACACCTGTCTGTGCCTCCCTCCCTCTCATACTGGTTGTTCTAACAAGATATTTCTTCCTTACACAACTAGCCTTGCTTATGGTCTTCCATAATAACATGTGCAACATTGCCATAATTTATTCAAGAGAATTTATATATATACAAACATATGGACATCTGTGTACATATATGTATACAAATATTCATGTTATTTTTACATATATAGTGTTTTTAAAAAAGGACTTGACTAGGTTATTGGTTTTAGAATAAAACTCTTAATGACCAGGGCTGTTAACAAAAACAACTATCGCTTCCTGGCAGTCACCCAAAATAGTGCATTAGCTGTCCCTAGCCTGGTCACTTTTCTTTTGGATCAAAGTTGCACTTGCACTCCGACTATGAGCAGAATGGACTTGTGTTTTCCTGCTGCGTGTTCTGCAGACATGGCTTCCAACCCAACACAGTGGGTCCCCTTCCCCGCCAAAAATGGCAAAGCTAAAAATTCTGTTCAATATATCCTTTTAATCTGTCAAAGCTGTCTGCAACTCTAGTTCCTTTCTGTAGGTTACTTTCTTTCAGATTCCTGGGGTCACATGCTGCTGCTGCTTCTTCTTTTAACTGCAGGAAGTCTGCAGGGATATTAATGGTAACCATAAAACGTGGTCTGAGGAAAAGATACTCCTAAGTTTATTTTTAGTTTCATTTTTTCCTCAACACCTTTATGTTGTGTGCTGTAAAGAGCCCACTAGTAAAAGGAAATGAAATGAATGAGCCTGAATAACAAGGTATTTCCTTCAAGACAAATCTTTTAGTCAGAGCATAGTGAAATAAGTCACTACAAGACACAAAATCTTAAACTTACAGGTTAATGGATTCAGGGAGCTATTTAAGTCACTCAGCTCAGAAGCTCTGCTCTGCACAGGATCTCGAGCAGGACT